CTCTCCCGCCTCCTGCACTTTCATATTTAACGAGTCACTTATATCCTGCGCCATCTCCGTGTTTCCTGGTACCATGCCTTCTGCTATTTTTGTTCCCAATATGTCTTGGGGCTTCATGTGACCCAAATATATTAGCTAATCTTTCTTGATGTTCAAGATCTTTTAAAATGTTAGTATTTCTTCTTTTCTTTGTCCATGGTATTCTGAAAATCTTTCTACAGCATTAACGTTAGATTTGATTTCCATTGTGCATCTTTGCTAGGAGATAGTTTGATGGCAGGTCGATATAAGTGATTTGTCGGCTTGTTGGCATATTGAAGCTTAACGCCCATGTTAAATATGTTTCGGTTTTTGCCAATAGTTGAGGTAATCTCGCTAAGCCTATAGTGTCATTATCATATTTCCTTTTTAGCTGGAGATGATTCAAATTTTAGACTCTGGTAGAGCACGTTGGTTGATTGTCGTTAATGGATTGTTTGTGAAGTGTACGTTAATTCTGTGTTATGTTAAGTAAAACAAACAGATGTTTGATGTAGTAATCATAGTTCCAGTTTTTTCCATTCAGCTTAAGACTTGTAGTTAGTGTGCCTAGTTTAGTTTTTTTATTGCTTGGCTGATCTAGACTTTAAACAGAAGATTTCTTGTCAGGGTGAGATAATTTGATTTTACCCCCGCCTAACCGAATTGTTTTCTCTTTTTTTTTCTAGTTACTGAGGCAGCTTATGGTTGGGTTTCGGCTCACACTCGCCACGTGACATCGTTTTGAGCTTCTGTAGGTTCGGAGTAGAGGAGATTTCAAGGAGTAGATTTCCATATTATCCTTTATAGTTATCTCTTCTCTTTCCTCCATTACAAGTTACCCCCTCCTGTGTTTTGCTTCTAGTACACTAAGATCACAACTAAAACAAAAACCCTTGTCTATCAGGCTTGTGTTCTCAGCACTCTGCTTTATGGCAGTGAAACTTGGTCAACCTGTTTGCACCAGGAGAGTCGACTTGATAGCTTTCACATGCGATGCCTAAGAAGAATATTTGGCATTAAGTGAAAGGACAAAATTACAAACGCTGAGGTACTGGAAAGAGCAGGTACTAGAACAGTCTTTTCCATGCTCAATCTACAAAGACTCAGGTGGTTAGGTCACACCTGGAGAACGGAGGACGGCAGAGTCCCTAAGGACATTCTTTATGGTTAATTAAAGACAGGAAGAAGATGTCGAGGCCGACCTGTACTACGATATAAAGATGTGTGCAAGCGGGACATGAATGATACAGGTATTGAGGCGGACTCATGGGGACAAAATAGCCATGAAAAGTGTTGTGTGGAAAGGACACATCAGGAAGGGAATGAGACTGAAAGAAGAAATGATTATAGAAAGGATGAGAGCTGGGCGTCTGAAAAGAAACAGATTAAACACAAATGTTCACAACTGTGGTCCTGAAATCCCATGCTTTCATTGTGGAAGACTTTTCTTGACACGGGCGGGTCTTGCTAGTCATACTCGCCATCGCTATGGGCTGTGAGTCTCATCCCTCCTCATAGCGCAATATAATACTATCGTCTGGAAAAACGGAAAGGTGCCAATGAATGAATGATGATGTGAGAGAGTGCACCCCTACCTCACCTCCTTTCGTACCTAGAACAAATCCAATGTTTCACCAGCTGCTCTGGTGGCTGCTTGTCATGATATAAACTTTCTATTAAATGCCCCATACTTCTCATGATACTCCTTAATTTTTTTTTTAGGTTGGATACAATCAATGGCCTAGCTATAATCATTTAAACAAGCATGGAGATATGCGTTGAATTGTCTACATTGATTACAAATGGATAGCTGAGAGCAGGAATATTGGCTACAGTGTTGACCTGTGTGGCTTCTGTCTGGTAGTCTTAGTTTCAGCTTCATAGCAAACGGTTCACCCCATCTTTGCTCCGCTCCTGTGCCAACGAAAAACACACCGAATGTTTATCACAGTAATAGAATTGCAGTTCATCATTGATGGTATCAGAAGTCGCCAACAGATCAGCAGTTGCCCACGCGATCAATTTTAATCACATACGGGCACCACAACACTGCACGACAGGCAACGCGCCCGTTTCTGAATGTAATTCGTTTTTCTTGTCTCCGGCGGTTTGTCATTTTGTGAAGAAAATTAAACTATTGTGTCATCACAAAATGGCAACTATTTTTGCTGGTCTACTCATCTGAGGAATGTACTTATATCAGCTCTAGGGAAATATTTTGTGGTCAAGCTTCTGACACACGATAGCCGGCAAAATGAAAACCTGGAAACAATCATCTCACAATTCTGTGCAATGACAGGCTACAAAGAATAGTTTAAACAATCAAGTCCTGCAATCAGATCCAGTGAGCATCCCTGTTGCCATGTGAACACCCTTGCTGCCGCGTGAACATCCTTGCTGCCACGTGAACATCCTTGCTGCCACGTGAACATCCTTGCTGCCACGTGAACATCCTTGCTGTCCCGTGAACATCCTTGCTGTCACGTGAACATCCTTGCTGCCACGTGAACATCCTTGTAGCCACGAATTTTCTTGAGTTTTGGAAAACCTGTCTCCAGGAAAATCGAGACACATTTAGTGAATATGAATTCAAAGCCAGAAGTGCGTGTCCATATACAGATTACAGTGCTAAAGGGAGAGGGGGGTTGGGGTTGGACAGGAACGACAATGAAGTTTGCGTTTTAATAGATATTCATCATCGGCCACCGGGCCGCCCATCGGCTCGCAGATACACACCGGTCGGAACAGTACTGTGGTCAGTCTCCTTTGATCGCATCAACACGGCATGAGTCCTTTTCATTGCTCTTGGTAGCGTGCAATGCTAAGCCATTTTATCTGGCGCACACAATCTAGTCACAACTATAACCTAAAGCTCCTTCTTCGGGGATGCCGGTTGAACGTGGCAATCCCCCCCCCCCCCCCAGCAAAGCACCTACCTACCTACCGTATATTCATTAGTTAAAGTAATAACTACAAAGGTTGAAGTAACAACTACAAAGGTTAAAATAACAGGCTAAAGTAATAACTACAAAGGTTAAAGTAACAACTACAACGCTTAAAGTAACAACTATAAAGGTTAAAGTAACAACTATGCCCGTCTCTCTAGCGTCGTTGGATAAACCGGATTACGCGGTGAGCGGATGACGAACTCCTTGTGGTCCGGGTTCACTCCCGGGGGTGGGCAGAAAAGCCACATTTCTCCCAGATTTACGGTATTTAAAATGGAATCAAGGCCGAAAGGTTGCGATATCCATAATACCGAGCCTAAGGGTTAACAACTCATGGCCTCTGGATACCAAAACAATCAAACAAGTAACAACTACAAAGGTTAAAGTAACAACTACAAAGGTTAACGTAGCAACTACAAAGGTTAAAGCGAGGCAAGTTACTACCTGTCTACAGTGATTTTGTTTTCTTTCTTTTTAGAAAAAAAAGGGGTTGGGGGGGGGGGGGGGGGGGCTGTCGGCGCCGAAACCCATAGGGACCTTTTCAAATAATAAGTGAACTAACAACACCCTGCCAAAAAAAAAAAAAAAAATACTAAGACTGCAATCTGTAGTGGCTTATTTCACTATAGCAGAAGACACCTGTTATGTGTGCCAGGTGCTGCACAACTACAGTGAACATTATATACACTATTGCGATACGTAGGAAACTCCAAAGACTGCCCTAATTGAAAAAAAAAACGATCCGCTGCAACAAGGATACAGAATACATTCTGAAGATAAATGGCTCTATAGAACCACAACGATAGATTAAACAGCACATCACAAGAACAAAGGTTAGCATGTGAGATTTTAAAACATCTTAAAACATAATTATGGTATCACATATCACATTAAATAGCTGCAGAGAGAGAGAGAGAGAGAGAGAGAGAGAGAGAGAGAGAGAGAGAGAGAGAGAGAGAGAGAGATATAGAGAGAGAGAGAGAGAGTTTACAAAATAATTACTATAATTGTTCAAAAGTACATGCACAATATATTGAATGCGAAAAACTATATTTTCACAATTTTATGCAATTAATACATAAGCTGTGAGATACTGCTTAACCAAACACATTTAGGAGACATAAATATCAATTACTGTAATAGTAAAAAAAAAAAAAATACTATATACATCGAAAATGTAACCGTTGGTTGAACAGGATGTTGGTTGTTTAAATTACCACTACTACTGCGTTGTTTTTTTAAGCATTTGCCCACACATTGCTTATTATTTTAAACATGTTATTTTTCTATTTGCTACTGAGCACATAATAATAAATATCATTTGCAGTTAAACACGTCTTAAGCCAATCGAGACCACAGTGATTTTCTAATCATGGGAGAAGGGGGGGGGGGGTCCTCAAAGGGATTTAAGGCTTTTTAAATTGTGCATTAATAATACAAATTATAATTATTGCATAATTAATCAGGTCTTTAGCCTGTGCCCGCCCCTAGAATATTGTTGGGGGAGGGGGAACCTGACGCCCCACAAATCTGATACTGGTGGCGGCACTCACCACACATGTGTCCATTTTTAAGCGGCGCTGAAAACATTATGCCTCACGACAAAAGAAGACACAAAGCCCTGCCGGTCTGGGACAGAAAGAGTTAACAATTCACACAATAACACTGCCACAACTCTTAAAACTGGATGCTGAGGTAAGCGACGTCTCCTGGCTACATTTTTCAACCATTGCATGTGCCTTTGTTGACGTTCTGTGACCTCGGCCGTGAAGCCACGCCCCACTAGCGAATAATTGGTCCGTGAATGAGGTCAGCCGTCTTTTGATTGGCTCCTAGGTCACACCGTCTTTGCGTGAACTGTGTTAATCTTGAGAGAAAGAGCCCAGGCCTGTCCTAGCCCGCATTTCACGTTGTGTCTTTGTGTTGGATCGCAGCCAGGCTGTTGCTACTTAGAGAAGCTCATTTTCCAGGGACTTCTCAGTTTGCAGCTGTTTCATTCTAGCAAGAGACCCAGTTTATTAGACATGCAAGATGCGTTGCTATATATCACAGCTGAACAACCAGTGTCAAATTATATACGTAGACCCCAAGCAAACGGGGCAAGTTGTATTAGATAAAGTAAGTTGAGTGTTAAACTCAGATGTAAATTACTTGAATTACTAGTTTCCCCATTTTTTTTCTCCACAGCTGTTCTGAAACTTACCGTTTTTTTTCGTTACAGTTAAAAAATATTTGAATAATTTATAAGTATTGTTATCAGTATCTTGAGATAGAGAGATTTAATGTGATAAAAACCAAACAGGAAATGTATAATAATAATAATAGTAGACATTATCATTATCAGTTTATCGCCTTGAACCCGCATAGGACTAGGATAGTCCCAGGTTGATGTAGCTTACAGTGTGTCCCAATTATAACGTCTTAGGTAAAACGAGGTATCTCGTATTGACGCTGATAATTTGCATCCCACAAAGAGAATCCTAAAGCATTAACCAGTGAATCATTGACTCAATCGTTTAGGAGGTAGCAGTTTATCTAATGGGGCGAAACTGGCAAATGAAAAGTGTTCACATAACACAACTCAAAAAATAGGTCGCAAGAAGATAGCACATTTGAGTGGTTTATCAAAGGTTTGTGACTGTAATTCGGATATTTGAATAGAAAGAGGTTATTTCGAATAAAATTGGCGATGTAATTGTCACTGTAATCAATTTGTGAGGCCCTTAGTTGGCAATTAAATCACGTCTGCTCGATGAACGGCCAGGCGGTGACGTCACAATCAGCTGGGAAAAACACAAATGGCCGCCATTGGTACAAAGTCCAAGGGGTTTTCGTTGGTCTAGTTCAGGAAACTGATTTTTCTTGACACATCTTGCCTTGTATTCACGAAAGAGTGGGTGCCCGAATAGAGATGCACAGAGAAGGCAGAGGAAAGAGACGATGACAGTTTTAGAGCATCAGTGTACACACAAACAGAAGTAGAAGCCAGAAAGTAAAAGGTAGACTAGAAGAAAGCGAGGGACTAAAATAAAATGATGGATGGTTAGTTACTGTAACTCTAGCTGTGCTAGCAACACTAGTAGTGCAGTACAGTACATACAATAAAACGATGCTCGAAATAGATCGGTTAAAAATAACTATATTAGCTGGCATGTACTTCTGCAGCTGCAACAATTTAGACTAGGCCCAAATGTTGAACATACTTCAAGGTTATCTTGATAAACAACATGAACTTGCACTTAGTAGTCATTTTCAAGAATAAGTACTTTAAATATGGGCTAAAAAAAGTCACACTAGGGAGTCAAAGGAAGTAGAAACTTTTAGGAGGGAGGGAAGTTGCTCATTCCACTCATAAATTTTTAAAGGGAAAGGGGTTTGACTGACACTTTATACTGATGACTTTTGACAGACTTGGCTCGCTTCAAAATAATTCTTCACTTACCACCATGGTTTTTCAGCCACAAGATTAATGAATATCGAAATTTGAGAAAAATACTTTAAAGTTTGCTCAGTTTAATAACAGATTCAAAAGTTATGAGTTTCTGGGTTTGTTATCACTCAGAGGCTTTCAGTTCTTATAGGGTGCTGAACTAAATTTGCTAGATTTTATAATAACCGACCCCTCAGCTGCCGTTGGGTATAGATTCACTGTCAGAATCACTTTCCGAATAATTTGCTTCCTTATCAGAATTAGAAATAAAAGTATTTAACTGAAGCAATTTCAGAGCATTAGCCGCAGAAAGGCACAATTTGTGGCTTATACTTGTGCTTGAACATTTGGTCAGTCAAAGATGAAATTGGAAAATTCCCTGTCTGAAAATGACTAGCAATGAATTTGATAATTTCGTGCCTAAATGTTTAAACATTAACAAGTTAAAACATTAGTTACCGTCCCTGAAATTCTTAAAATAGCTTCAAACATTTAAAATTGCTGCAACTAGATGTTTTGAAAGGTGAGGGCTCGGAGAAAAACCTATTACACATCAGAATGAGGACAGTCATACCTTTTTAGTCATGTTATGAGAAGGAAACTGGAGCATGTTGTGATCTGTGGAAAGAGAGATAAGAGGAAGACAGTGCAAGGAGAGTTTAACAGCCATTTGTCATGGCATTAAGGGGTGTCAATGCACATACTTATACAAGCAGTTGCGGATTGCAGATTGTGGAGAGCATGATTGCCAATGCCAGTCAGCAAGGCACTTGATGATGATGACCAAGCAGTGTGCAGATCAGTATGTGTGGGACATAGTCAGCATATGTGTTTTGGGCAAATCAGAATTTCCTAGTTGACCTACAATTCGTTGATTGCGTCTGAATGAGTTAAGGGGCCTAATTAGTGCTTAATAATAGTGATAATAATAATAATATGCTGAGTGACTTATAAAATATTTGAAATAATAGGATTTATGTAAACACAAACATGATTAGTGGAAAGGGGAAGGTGGGGGTGGGTGAGACCGCTAAAACATATTTGGAATCAACAGAAGGCTCTAAGTGGGCAAACCATTTCATTAGTTTAGTATCTAATTTAGAATTGGTTCTGGGCCGACTTTATTTCGTATGACCTCATTCCTGATTATATCTATTCTGGTCACTCCTACAACCTTTCTCTGACACATATTTTTGTGTGTGTGTGAGTGACCAAGTCTAGCACTGGTACCATAGGTTGGGAATGAAAATGCTTTGTATGAGAGGTTTCTTTATGCTGATTGGGATTGCCTTATGCTGTAAGAGGGAGCTAGCTGTCCCAGTACTTGGCCAGCTTTACTGCATTGAATGTCAATTTCTTCATCCAATTTACCATCTTCGGTGAATGTTGTTCCAAAATATTTAAACTCAGATGCCTGTTTAATATTTGTGTGCTCTAATGCAATGTGTAAATCCTGCTTCTTTCTTCCTGTTAACATTATTTTTGTCTTTTCACACTACCTGGATTGTTGCATTGCATTTGAGTTTGAAATATATGACACAGTAGGGTTATTCATCAGTCCCCTCTAAGTAGGCTAAATCTCTTACACTAACAGCTGTTTTATGTTTAAAATGTTTAAGGATTGTCTCTTGCCAGTTTTAAATGCCTGTGCAGTTTCTTTTTGTCAGTTTAGAAATAGTTAGTCCATCAACTTTGAACTGTTAAATACACCATGGAATTAACCACCACTTGAACCAGGTTTAATAAGTATTGGACAAATGTAAAATGTCTGAGAACACGTTACATAATAGCTGGGAATCAGTGGAAAGCCAGTGAAACACATTGCTTATGAGTGCAAATAATTTTTGTTTTTCATCACCTATAGATTCTGGAAGCTCTGCACATTGTTGAGGTAGACTACTTTGGGCTTCAGTACAAAGGAACAAAAGGAGAGGATCTGTGGCTGAACTTGAGGAATCGCTTGGGTGACCAGGAGATACCGTACAGTCATGGTGTTTATCATTTGAGCCTGCGGGTGAAGTTCTTTGTGCTGCCTCATCAAATTCAGCAGGAAGCAACCAGGTAAGCAGCCGTCATATCAGTGATTTTCCCTTGTGGATCCGATGCCTCAGTGGGGTGGGGAAGAGGTTGGGATAAACCCTGGGGGAAGGGGCGGGGGTGTTAGACCAACTGCCCCCTAAATAGCAGTGATATAAAAAGCAAGTACTAAAAGGCAACTAAATAGATGTTTGCTACAATCAGATATGTTGGGTGCAGATATTGCAGCGTAGCTGTAGACAACACAATGTGCCAGCCACTTTATTAGGGATGAATTCAGATGGTAATTAATTTTATTCCAGATGATTATTACTACCAGTTACTATGTCTAGAGGGCAAGTACATCTGTTTAGACCAGTACATATCCAGAAAAGAGCAAACTGCATTGAATGGAAGCCATATTTGTAAAGAAAATAGTATCTTGACTTCCCAAAGACTTCCCAGGCCAAAACTTTCCAAAGACAGTGCATATGCCATTACCCAGAAGGCATTTTGTGTAGTTAGTACATTGACTTTTCAGACAAAAGACATTTCAGGGCAAATACTTCACAAGCACTTCCTAGGGCAAAGACTTTCCAAGGCCATAGACTTCCCAGTCCAGAGACTTCCCAGTCCAGAGACTTCCCAGTCCGGAGACTTCCCAGTCCGGAGACTTCCCAGTCCGGAGACTTCCCAGTCCGGAGACTTCCCAGTCCGGAGACTTCCCAGTCCGGAGACTTCCCCAGGCCGGAGACTTCCCCAGGCCGGAGACTTCCCCAGGCCGGAGACTTCCCCAGGCCGGAGACTTCCCCAGGCCGGAGACTTCCCCAGGCCGGAGACTTCCCCAGGCCGGAGGCTTCCCCAGGCCGGAGGCTTCCCCAGGCCGGAGGCTTCCCCAGGCCGGAGGCTTCCCCAGGCCGGAGGCTTCCCCAGGCCGGAGGCTTCCCCAGGCCGGAGGCTTCCCCAGGCCGGAGGCTTCCCCAGGCCGGAGGCTTGCCATCTAAAAGTATTCCAAGGTCAAAGACTTCATTGCCCAAAGACATCACAGCCCAAAGACTTCACAACCTAATGGTTCAGTAAATATTCCCCAGTGATGTTTTCTGACCAGTAACACTTTATAGTTGACACAATGAACATCTTCTGTTTTTCTAATATGGAAAGATGAGCTTTTTGCTCATCTTGTTATAATTATATCAGTAATTTTTGATTACACTGACAGCTATTCTCAGACATCTTATATTACACTGTCGCTGTCTTAGGAGCCAAGATAGCACAGTCGCTAAACACTAACTTGCCAGACTGAGGGTTTTGGATTTGAATGAGAAATCCATTTGCCAATACATGTGGTTATACATATTACTTTTAGTCATTTTTGTCTCTTTTAATTATCCTAATTTTTACCTTTCCTTCCCTGCCAGAGAATTGTTTTACGCTCAGATCAAAGATGTTTTAAGTAGAGGGCTAATACCATTGGTGGAACCTTACTGTGGTGAGGCCAAAGTGGCAAGGATAGTGGCTGCCATTGGTCAAGCTGATAATGAGAATGGGACTTTGCATCAGACATCATATCCTGAGGTAAGTGGCCAATCTTTTTAAACCAAACATCATCATATTCCCATAACAGTGTGTCATTGGGTCGCTAGTTGTTTTCGACTGCCTGAGCAGTTCTCTTCCCCTCTGTTGGACAGATGCAGTGGATTTGATGTTTGTATGCAGTCATACTCTTGAATAATCTTTCATATATAGTTTACTGGCTGTTCTTTGTTTCTGTCTTGAACAATCATTTGTGTAATATTTTACTTTTTTGAACAATCCTTTGTGTAACCTTAGCCTTTTTCTTAAACATTCACTTTTTTGGAACCCTTTACTTGTTCAGCACCAATTAGTGAAACCCTTTTCTTACTTGAACAGTCATTTGTGTAAACATTTTATTTCTTAAAACAATCATTTGTGTAACATTTTACTTTCTTGAACAAATCTTTGTGTAACCTTAACCTTTTATTTTTTAAACCCAATAAACATTTGTGTAACATTTTACTTTCTTGAACAGTCATCTGTGTAACGTTAGCCTTTTTATTTCTTCGACATTCACTTTTAGTAACCCTTTTTATTTTCTTGTTCAGCAGTCATTAGTGTAACCCTTTTTTCTTTAAAAGTAATTTGTGTAAACATTTTATTTCTTGAAAAATAATTTATCACTTTTCTTTCTTGAACAGTCACTGGTTGTATCCTTTAACTTTCTTGAACAATCACTGAATGTAACCTTTTACTTTTATGAACAGTCATTTGGATAACAATTTACTTTCTTGAAGTCATTTGGATAACCTTTTACTTTCTTGAAAATCACCATTTACTTTATTGAGCATTCATTTGTGTAGCCTTTTTAACAATCATTTGGTTAACTATTACTTTCTGGAACAGTCACTGGATGTAACCTTTTACTTTCTGGAACAGTCACTCGATGTAACCTTTTACTTTCTGGAACAGTCACTGGATGTAACCTTTTACTTTCTGGAACAATCATTTGTGTAGCCTTTTTCTTTCTTGAACAATCACTGGATGTATCCTTTTACTTTCTGGAACAGTCACTGGATGTATTCTTATACTTTCTGGAACAGTCATTTGGGGAACATTTTACTTTCTGGAACAGTCACTGATTGTAATCTATCTCATGCTATGTTCTGTAATCTGTCTCATGCTATGTTCTGTAATGTCTCATGCTATGTTCTGTAATGTCTCATGCTATGTTCTGTAATGTCTCATGCTATGTTCTGTAATCTGTCTTATGCTTTGTTCTGTAATCTATACTTTGCTGCAATGTGGTCTTGATGATTTCTTCAGTCTTTATAATTTTTCTTTGTCAGTCATTACTTTCTTTAACCATCATTTGTTGTAACCTGTTACTTTAGTTAACTATCATTTGCTGTAACCCATTCCTTTCTTTAACAATCGTTTTTTTTTTAAATCCCGTTACTTTAACAATAATTTATTATAACCCATTACTTTCTTTAACAATCATTGCTGCAATCTGTGCCTTATTGCTTTCTCAAACAATTATCATAATCATTTAGTTTACATTCTTGTAATTTTTTCTCCCTTTCAGATAATTCATACATTTTGTCCAGGGATAGAACCCAAATCATCCCTCATTGATAACATTTATTCCGAGCATCTGAAGCTGGTTAACATGCCAAGAGCCAGTGCTCGAAATATTGTGCTGAAAGAAATTAGCCGTGTACCTGGATATGGAGTGGAGGAACACAGAACTGTCAATGTATATGGTGCAGACATCAGCTTCCGGGTCGGACCTGAGGGAATAGCCTTACATGATGTCAAGGGGAATACGGACAGAATGTGAGTGCTTTTTTATTTCTGTTTTTTGTATGTTTAGCTACTTGTGTTCAGTCTGTTGGTATGTATAGCTTACTTAGTGAAAAAGTATAAGACCATTTTCTATTAGTGGCACCTGAGCGCTTACGGGAAGCAAAGAATACTAACACTGCACTCTACCAGGCTTGTCACAAAAGGTGACTAAGGGTAGGGCTTCAGGTTGGTTACCTCATCCTTTAAAACCCCATCCATTTCAAATCTGCTAGCCCTCAAGAAGCCAGTGATGAATGGTGAGTTACAGATTCTAAATTTCATTCAATTTTTCTTTTACTTTTTAAAAAATGAGTGTTCTTACTACAGTGAAGGTTGGCTGCAGTGCACTGTTGCTGTCTGAAAATATTACATGGTGAGGCCCAGGTCTCTTCCTCAGTGTGTCTCAAATGTTACATGGTGAGGCCCAAGTCTCTTCCTCAATGTGTCTCAAATGTTACATGATGAGGCCCAAGTCTCTTCCTCAGTGTGTCTCAAATGTTACATGGTGAGGCCCAAGACTCTTCCTCAATGTCTCAAATGTTACATGATGAGGCCCAAGTCTCTTCCTCAGTGTGTCTCAAATGCTACATGGTGATGCCCAAGTCTCTTCCTCAGAGTGTCTCATATTACATGAAACATATTGCTAAAAAAAAAACGCTGAGGAAATCTCCAAATCAGATAAGAGAACAAATCAAGCAGCAGGGTAGGTACTAATACATCAGTCTGCAAAAAGTTGAAGCATTTGTGTTCTCCTTTCAGGATACCATACACCCAGATCAGTTTGGCCACCCATAATGAGAAGTTGGTCCATATCATTCTTCTGGATGATGCAGGCGAGCCCCAGAGTGAGGAGTGTTTCAAACTGGTCAGCCGAAAGGCTGCAGTTGCTCTTTACCGCAGCATCACTGAGATGCATTCATTCTACCGGTGCGACACTGTGTGCACTAATGTGTACTCACAATATTCCAGGGACTTCAAGGGCACATTTGTCTCCATTTTCAATGAGAATTCGGATTTTGGTGAGTCAAAAATACTTCAGTTAGTATATTTATACCAGGGATATTCTGTTCAACTGTTAAGCTTCTTATTGGAGTATGTAGTATATATGGTTATGTCCAGGGCTTTTTTATGATGGTGTGCTGTAACGGCACCCTTTCTTTTAAACACCCATTCATCCTTTTTTCTTTTTTGGAACTACAGTAATAGATACTGTGTGATGCGAACTGGCACCTTTTATTAGACACCTTGTTGAATGTTGAATTTTAAATCGACATAGCACTCAGGGCCCTCCCATATAAGCCGCATTCCCATCTTCAGCAGCAGACAGAGTTCCAATTCCAATGGTACTTTCTCAGCATGCTCTTGTGAGTCAGCACAGTCACAATATGTGTGTATAGCTGATTCTCAAGCCAGTGGAAGGCAGTAGTGACTCTCTCCATCTTTTTCAGCATACTCTTGTCAGTCAGTCACAATATGTGTATAGCTAATTCTCAAGCCAGTGGAAGGCAGCAGTGACTGTCTCCACTCCATTAAACACTTTATCGTGAGTATTACTCAGCACCTTTTGTTTTCCAGGTAAAAGCCCCGCTTATTTCCCATAATTTCTTACTTTTTTATATGTAATATGTTATTGTGTAGGTTGTATATTGTCATACATGGCAATATCCACTAGTATTATAATGCTGTTTTTGTATATCATTGGCTGCTTTGTGCAAATCTTCCCCTGCCTCAAGGTGTCTCCATTTTCATGGTTGTTTTCGCTGCCAGCCTCTTTGGATTCATTCTTAGTAGGTGGCTGAACCATGTCTTTTATTTCTCAGTAAATTTAATGATGTATATTATAATTATTTCACTGTAATGTTTAATATTAGATTTAGATCAGTTATTTTTCTTTCTCTTTCATATATTTATTGAAATTTAGACCTACAAGAAAACACACTCACCAAGTTCAGTGCACATGATTAATAGGAATTTTTTATCTTCTGGTTTTTTTTATTACTTTCACCTGTTAGTGAAGAAGCCAGACAATGGTAACACATGTTGTCAGCATCCTTTTTTACTACTTCTTGGTGAAGAACAATAGTAACACTTGTTGTAAGCATCCTTTCTTACTAATTCTTGGCTAGTGAAGAAGCCAGACAGTGGTATCACATGTTGTTAGCATCTTTTCTTAGCATCCTTTCTTACTTCTTCTTAGCTAGTGAAGAAATCAGGCAATAGTAACACATATTGTGAGAATCCTTTCTTACTACTTCTTGGCTAGTAAAGAAGCCAGACAGTGGTAACACATGTTCTTAGCATCCTTTCTTACTTAGCATCCTTTCTTACTACTTCTTGGCTAGTGAAGTAGCCAGACAATAGTAACACTTGTTGTGAGCATCCTTTCTTACTACTTCTTGGCTAGTAAAGAAGCCAGACAATAGTAACACTTGTTGTGAGCATCCTTTCTTACTACTTCTTGGCTAGTGAAGAAGTCAGACAATAGTAACACTTGTGAGCATCCTTTCTTACTACTTCTTGGCTAGTAAAGAAGCCAGACAATAGTAACACTTGTTGTGAGCATCCTTTTTTACTACTTCTTGGCTAGTAAAGAAGCCAGACAATAGTAACACTTGTTGTGAGCATCCTTTTTTACTACTTCTTGGCAAGTAAAGTAGCCAGACAATAGTAACACTTGTCAGCATCCTTTCTTACTACTTCTAGGCTAGTGAAGAAGCCAGACAATAGTAACACTTGTTGTGAGCATCCTTTCTTACTACTACTTGGCTAGTAAAGTAGCCAGACAATAGTAACACTTGTCAGCATCCTTTCTTACTACTTCTTGGCTAGTGAAGAAGCCAGACAATAGTAACACTTGTTGTGAGCATCCTTTCTTACTACTACTTGGCTAGTAAAGTAGCCAGACAATAGTAACACTTGTCAGCATCCTTTCTTACTACTACTTGGCTAGTAAAGTAGCCAGACAATAGTAACACTTGTTGTGAGCGTCCTTTCTTACTACTACTTGGCTAGTAAAGTAGCCAGACAATAGTAACACTTGTTGTGAGCATCCTTTCTTACTTCTTCTTGGCTAGTAAAGAAGCCAAAAAGTGGTAACTCAGTTGGCTTGAATGTGCTTTGATCAGTGATTTTGAATACTTGTCAAATTTTGAGGCTCAACAATGAATACTGATGAAGACATTTTCCTTCTCACAGGAAAGCGTTATATATTTGATATTCAGCGCACGTCTCGGGAAGCCTATGACCTTGTAAGGAGAAAGTTGTATACAAAAGCGCCTAGTCCATCTGGTAGCCCGGTCCATTACTGGCCTCAGGCTAACTCCACTGTAGGCAATGATAATGACAGTATTGAGAGAAAAGACCAGGACATGTGCGAACTAACGTTAGACGAGAGGAATACAATTCTTCAGAGAGAAGTCAAGGTAATATGTATATGCATGTTTGTGTGTGTCAGAGAGAGAGAGAGAAAGATAAAGATACTGGGGGAAAAGAGGGGACAATTTAAAAAAAAAAAATTTGTGAACTCATTTTACATAATTCTGACATGAGTTTGAAGCAGGCTGCTTTGTGTTATTTTCGCCAATGGCATGAGAAGTGAACCATTCAAAAAAGCAGTGAGAAACTATTCAACATAATTATGGGCTGGTAAAACAAAAAGCCAACAAATCTTTTCTGAATGGGCAGCTTTGTAACATCCTTTATGGGATATGCAACTAACTTTTTTAACTCACATAAATCATATAACAATCTCAGAATTCATATGTTGGCAGGATAGATGGGCAGTTCTGAAATGTTGAATACAACAAGGTTCTTGAACAAGACTAAAGTCCAGAGGTGGACGAACAAGTTTGTTACAGCCGGTGAACGTGAAGATGAATGAAGAAGATGGAGAATACAAAGTTGCATCACTGACTAAAAGTGCTCTGACTCTTCTTAACATGCTCTAGATTTGATTTCACCCTTTCACCCTGGTGACACTAACAAATGGTTCATAACCCCATGGGAATTCTGTATATAAAAAAAAATCTGTTAAAAAAGAAATTTTACACAGGTTGGAAATAATTTGGGGAAAATGTATTTATGTACATATTGGTTTTTTTGTTTCACAGTATATAAAGATATATAAAGCGAGCAATAAATAAATTAGCGTAATACATTCCCTGAGGTCTAAGGTTATGTGTATCGGGTCACTGTTCCATAACTCTCTGACCTCAATCACTGAGGCTTATTAGATTTTTGTCAGTTGGTTTAAAAAAAAAATTTGGTTAGAAAGAAAAACACCCTGACTGCTGTTTTTAATATATTCATATCCTGACCTAATAAATATTTATGCAGGCATGAACACAGCAGATAGCGTTAACTATAAATATTGTAAACAGGTTGCTATAGATAAAGAAAATAAATATTTAACCCCAACTGGCAGTATTGGAGCTTCTCAAGGCTGAGAAGGTTAAACAATATTTAATATACATAGCTTGCTGGTTTCTCTTTTATTCTGAGCTATTTGCAGGCAGCTATTTTAGCATTATGATGTACAGTAAGAGGTTTTAGGTCAGCTGCAGGTGTACCTTAAGAGGATGTTTTAGGTCAGCTGCAGGTGTGTACCTTAAGAGGATGTTTTAGGTCAGCTGCAGGTGTGTACCTTAAGAGGATGTTTTAGGTCAGCTGCAGGTGTGTACCTTAAGAGGATGTTTTAGGTCAGCTGCAGGTGTGTACCTTAAGAGGATGTTTTAGATCAGCTGCAGGTGTGTACCTTAAGAGGATGTTTTAGGTCAGCTGCAGGTGTGTACCTTAAGAGGATGTTTTAGGTCAGCTGCAGGTGTGTACCTTAAGAGGTTGTTTTCGGTCAGCTGCAGGTGTGTACCTTAAGAGGATGTTTTAGGTCAGCTGCAGGTGTGTACCTTAAGAGGTTGTTTTCGGTCAGCTGCAGGTGTGTACCTTAAGAGGATGTTTTAGGTCAGCTGCAGGTGTGTACCTTAAGAGGATGTTTTAGGTCAGCTGCAGGTGTGTACCTTAAGAGGATGTTTTAGGTCAGCTGCAGGTGTGTACCTTAAGAGGATGTTTTAGGTCAGCTGCAGGCAGTTTTCTTGCAGACCGCTTTGTACTGATTTTGATATGCGCATCTAGCCATTCAAACAGCAGTAGCAAAATAGAGAATGTAACTTTGTTTATGAAAATCACAAATGTTCAGTCTTCTTTGCATTCACCGGCTGTAAACCCTGATGGAAAGTTCTGGGTGTTCCTGTTCGAGGAGCCTAATTGTTGCTTGCACATCAGTTTTACAGATCTGGCTCGTGTGTGGTTCATTGCCTCTCAGGCAGGTGTACTCTGACTTTGAAGAAAGCTTCCAGTTGGTCAACTTTCTTCCTTGACATGTTTTTGGGTAGGCAGTAGGGTTGTTCTTGTTTTCCCCACAATGCGGCCCCAGAACCCACACGGGGATAAATGGCCAACAATTACTGGGCTTGTTTTGTGTCGTCCTGAAAAGGTATGTCGTGGCTGTAAAAACTTGGATAGTTCTCGTTGTTCGTCCACTCATGGATTTTGATATTGATCCAGACCTTTGCCTGCACATCCATTTTATAGTTCTGGCTTATTTGTGTGTACATTGTTGATTCTTCGCCTCCCAGGCAGGTGCTCTCCGACTTTAGTCGCCTCGTGTGACATGCTTGTTGGAGAGGGGGGAGGGCAGGGGGTCTATTCTTTGTTCTCCAGAATAGAGCCATAGAATCCACGCAGGGTGGTTAAAATAAAACAAGGTCATTTTCATTTATACACAAACAATTGTAGGATAAATGGTTTCCAAATGTTTTTTGAAATAGAGAGTGCAGTTTAAAAAAAAAAAAAGTTCAAATAGAGGAAAAATGGATCTGTTTCCAAAGATTAAAATTTACCTACTATCCCTCTAAAACTAGCTCACTTTTTTAAACTCTAAATTGAACTTTTCCCAAGACTCTGAAATTTAACTACTTTTCCTAAGACTCCTAAATTAACTTACTTTTCTAATAATGAAATTGACGGTTGTAACTTAATTTCATTTCATTTCAGCGTCTGAATGAAAGGCTAGAGTCATTTGAAGAATCATTGCTCTGCTGCATATGCATGTACAGTAAGGTTTGCATTGTGCTGTTTCCCTGCGGCCACATGGTCTGTGATGCTTGTTCGGAGCGCATTGAAAATTGTCCTCAGTGTCGGGCAGTTATTGAAGATTTTAAGAAAGTGTTTCATACTTTTGGTTTGGAGTCCAGTAAGACAGATAAAGAAGAACAGACAGTTTGAAGCTCTACAGTGTGAATGTGTTTTCAAGATCTGCGGCTCTACAAGGTGTAAAATATCTGGACCTCATGAAAAGGCTCTGTATTTCATACAAAGTAAATGCCGTTTTATCCGGTATTCATGAGAAGGTCCTATATTTCATACAAAGTAAATACCATTTTATCCGGGATTCGTGAGAGGGTCCTATATTTCATACAAGGTAAATATCATTTTATCTTGGAGTTCATGACCGGGTCCTGTATATATCATGCACAGTTAATTATATTTTATCCGGATATCATGAGGTGGTTCTATTTTTCATACAAAGTAAAAACCATTTTATCTGGAACACATGAGAAAGCAAAACTTTCATACAGAGCTGTTGCCAGTTTTAATCTGTACAGTGAAACATATATTTACAATATGGACCAGATTTTAAAGATACGTGTTTATAGCTCTTTTGACTTCAAGGCTGTGTAAGCATGTTCCTTTGGAACTGGAATTCAGTATGTCAGTTAGCTTTTGGCATCATAAACAAATCGTGACTGTGCTCAGTTAATTCATTGTGAAACCCTGTGACAGTTGTGAAGAATCATTAGACTTCTCGTGCGTGCATATATTCACGCTCCTGAGAGGATTTATTGGACAGAGGATTAGGATGGCTGTCTGAGAAATAAATTTCATGGATTATTCTGTCCTCTTTTGCACAAGGTTGAAAGTGTTTCACGAAAGAACATTTAATATGATAGTGGCAAAATCAAGATGATTGCCTCATGCTCTGAGGATTGTGCTAAATTTATTAAAAATCTGATCTTCTGGTTTGAGAGTACAGGTATTTTGGAGATTCAGAAAGTGGGGATGGGGGTGATGCATTTATGCTTTGTGCAAAGCTTTTGCAGGGGACAGTTGCTCTTTGGATTACCAGCAACTCTGCAGAGTAGGGTGACATCAGGTGGGATAACAATCCAGTGCATAAGGTCTGTCCTTTTCTTTAAAAAACTTTTTTAGATCTCAGGGTGTTCCTAAAGTCTGGACACATAAGAAATAAAATGTGCTAAAATTTGTCAATGTGGATTTACTACAATGAGTCCACACAAATTTTGCGCAGTTCATCAGCCTTTGCATCACAGTTGAAGGATATATTATTTAATATTCCAATTGAATGAAATGTTAATTTCATTTCTCAAATATATTTTTTCCACTGTCCAGACCTCATTGAATCAGCTTTGTAAATACACATATCTGAGTTTCTGTGGGAGGCACAGTAATTTGTACCCATGGTAATCTTACTATATCTACAAGATCACTAGTTAAATGATCACACACAGTCTGTGCTTAAGGATGGGAACAAACTGACTTCATATAATGGGATTATTTTGTATTCTATGTGTACCTTGTTTTTGCTTTAGAAGTCATGAAAGTCGCCTAAAGAATATTAACATCGGTGAGAAAGTACTGATCATTTTATTGTTTTGTGAATATTTATCTTATGCTGCTGTTTGTAAAGTGAGCCAGTAGATAAACAGTTAATGTTATCATGTTAAGGTTTAGGGTTAGGGTATTAACATCGGTGAGAAAGGACTGATCATTTTACTGTTTTGTGAATATTTATCTTATGCTGCTGTTTGTAAAGTGAGCCAGTAGATAAAGTTATTGTTATCATGTTGTTGTACATAATGTAAAAACAAGAATGCTGAAACTATGTACATTTTAAATCATACCTGATGGAACAGAATTTACTGAACCACAACTACAGATGTTGGCTTCCTTGAACATTCAGAGTCAAAGACTGGTAAAATGGCCTTGCATTTATTATTGTTATATCTTAGAAATCTTTGGCAGTTACAAAGACATGAAGAGTTCAGTTGCAGAAATTGGTTGATTCTGTTACAACATATTCTGTTTAAACTAATTTGTATATAAATTATTTTAGTTAACTTCTTTAAAACAAAGAAAAGCTTTGAGACCGGAATGACATTTTTAGTAAATCTAGTTAGCTGAATAAAATAAAAGGTTATATTTGTTTTAAATTTGTAAATTCTATGCTGAATTTTTTTTTTAAAAAAACAGCAAAGAACCTGGAATGACAGAAACTTTCATAGTTTTGAGGGCACATCCATTTTACAGATGGTCGCTGAGTAAATTACAGAAAAGTGAAGTTCATACT